GTTTGCCCTTGCCTGCTTCCTAGGGCTGAGAGAGAGTGACTGGCCCAAAGTCACCCAGCTGTCTCCGTGCCTAAGGCAGGACTAGAACTCTCAGCCTCCCAGTTTCTAGCCTGGTGCCTTAATCACTACACCAAACTGGCTCTCAAAATGTCTCTAGTCCTGCAAAATATTTGTTCATTCTAACTTTGCACCAGTGTTGGCTGAATGCACAGTCCTTATGATTTTGTATGCAGCCCAGAGTCACTTCGTGTGAGATGGATGGCTATATAAATGTGACAAAAGAACAAATAAATTTTGTTTAGGGCAGGAATAAGCAAGGTGGAACCCTCAGAGTATTCTGGATCTCAACTTCCATTAACCCCAGCTAGTATAGCCAGTCATAGGCAACTGTAGAAACTGTAGTCCAAAACATCAGAAGGATCCTAGATTGCCTTCCTTTGCTTTAGGGACGTGGGTGGCCCTGACTTTGTTTTGCTTTCTCTGTCTGCAGTCAGGAAGTAAATCTTGCAAGATCAGTCAAGTGCCAGGCATACCACACTGCCATCCCACTGGTGATGTTCACTGTTGCCTTTGTGCAAAGAACGGACTTCACTTCGCCTGCACAAGCAAAACGATAAAGCCTGTCCCACCATTCAGGAGACAGCAAGATCCAAGGTTTATCCATATGTGAAGCTAGCCAGCTAACTCTTAGATCCAAGCACTCTAGATTCACTGCTTTTTAAAACACAGCTTTTTTATTCAGTAGACGCAAGGGCATTGCTTGAACTCACACTAAAAAAAAAAAAAAAGGAGGGGGGCTTAAAGTTAGCATATTTATCTTTAATTTCTTTTGCCTGAATGCTGAATAGGAAAGCAATGCTATACAATCAGGTGGAAAGGTCTTTTGGTCCCAGATGGCTATTGCATGACCTATAATGAAACATCAGCTTGAAATCATGAACTAGAAAAGCACTATTAGGAACAAGACCCAACACTTTCAGCTTTCATTATCCTCTCTTTGTTATTTAATGTAGCAAGTTGCATTTCAAACAAGATTAAACTATTTCTGATAGGTAGTGTAGTATGGAAGAGTGACCTTTTTTTCCTCTTCCAGAAATTGGTTTGCATTAGCAAAAATGGTCACCAGTGGATAAATCACTGGCTGTTGAGCACTGATGGAAATTTTAAAAAATGAGAGATAGAAGGTAGGTGTATCTTATTCTTAATAGATGAAAAAAGTAGGTTTTTCACAGGAGATCTTCTCCCAAAATTTAAAAGAAATACATCATTCTGCAAGAGCGTCTGCATAAGGATCCTGCAGCCTTGACCTGAAAGTTGTCCCTAACATTCCCTCCCTTTGGTGACTGAAGGCTTCCTCCACAGATGTGTTGGTTATTCCATTTAAAAAAAAAACACCTGTACATAATCTGCATTATTGCTAATAACATTAACGTTAATAAATTTCACTCTGCCTATGCCTTGGACTTGTAACACATCAAGTTAAATAACTGTAGCAGTGTTACCAAAAAATCAACCATGAGTCAACAGCCCCATATAGCAGCTTTTCTCAACCTAATACCCTCTAGATAATTTAGGATTGCAATCCCCAGAACAACCAGTCATTTAGGGCCAATAAGATCCTGGGAGTTTGGAGGGTATTAGTTTGGGAATGGCAGGCACTATACAGAGAAATCAACAGAAGTTTTTACTACAGAATTACGATTTAGATTAGACAACAGCACCACAATAAACATATGAACACACTTATATATGCTTACTCAGAAGTAAATTATATAAATAGTATTTATTCCAGATAAGTAGGTATATATTGG